CAAGTACTAATTTAAAAAAAAAAAAAATATAATTATGTTTTTGCCAATGCTATTGTCTCAAATCTTTTTAATGTTTCAGTTTTATCTTTTAATGAGAATGCCCTTCAGTTCCTAGAAAATTTAACTGTAAATTAGGTTAAAAAAAAAAAAAAAAAAAAAAAAAAAAGAGTTCTATGAACAAATAGCAGTCAACAGTGTCATATTTGTCTTAACTTTTGGGGTCTCTCTTGTTAACTAAGGGATGTGATTTATTATTATTGGGTTATTCCAAAAGTTATGCAGTTTTTCAAATCAAACTGTGTTTTGTTTTAATTATTTTGCAACTGCTCATATGAAGTAGCCTTGACTGGAGAGGAGGTTTAAATATGATCTTTTGCAGTCACTTTGGATAATTCTGTAGTTTTTTGGATTAATATTTTGTTTCAGAAAAGGAAAAAAGAAAAGAGGAAAGGGGAAAAAAAAATGCAGTCCAAACTGCTCATAAAATTTATGCTATATATTGGAAAAGTGCAGTTCAGAGGTATTCATAGGTGGCTTGAGAAGTAAAAGCTTGGAAATTTCAGCCTCCAAAATGATGCTCGCTGTAAACCAACATCCTCTGCAAGCATGGATCTGCTAAAAGAAGCAGTTACTCAAAATCAAAGTGTATGTAGTTCAGGAAATTAGGTTAAGTAATATACCAAGAAAAACAGTATATGAAGGAAGATAGAGTATGTAAGCTGCTGTGATATATAGGTATCCTATACTTTAACAGAGCAGAATATGCTTTCTTGACTTTTGAGATGTGATTCTTTGCTGAAAAAAATAAAGAAGCTCCTTTTTTGAAACAGCTTATTGCTGGAGATGAGAGGTGGATACTATACAGTAGTGTTACAAGAAAAATGATCATGGGATAAGCAAAAAGAACATTTTGTGGTAATATCAAGATGGGGCTGCATCCACAAAACGTAATGGTTTGTGTATGGTAGGACTAAAAGGAACTGTATGTTATGAATTGGCAATAAATTAGGAAATGTAATCTTCTCAAATGGCAGTTTTAAAAACATAATTTGAAACAAAGTGCTGTGAACTTTAAGATGTTGTCTTCCATTATGACAATGCTCAGAGCCACTTTTCGATGAATGTCGGACAAAAATTTATTGAATATGGCTGAAATATTTTTGTGTTATCCTCCATATTCACTAAACATTGACCTCTCAGATTTTCATCTCTTTAGGTCATTTCAAAATTCTGTAAATGGTATGGAGTTCTAGTCTAGTGGTGGATAGCATAGGGCAGTTTTCATTGTTTTCAGCAAAATCTCAGATTTAGCTTTCTGCACGCATAGAGTGTAATGTGGCTTGCTATAAAGACATCATGCCTCTCTCTTTCTTCTTTCTGATTTTCGATACCGACTTTATGCTATTCTCTGATGTTTCCTTAATTGAAAACAAATGACTGTGTACGTAGTGATAACAAAAGCACAAAAACCTAGAAGTATAATGGGTCTTATGTAGAAAAAGGAGACTATAGAAAAACAGGTAGCAATGGATGGATCATTGAAATAGATATAATGTTTCTTTCTAGTGATGCAAATGAGTTATTACAGTTACTACTGTTAAAGATCACTGTGTACATGGTGAGAACAAAAGCACAAAAACTTAGAAGTATATGTTTCTTATGTAGAAAAAAGGAGACTATAGAAAAACAGGTGGTGATGGATGAATCGTTGAAATAGATATAATGTTTCTTTCCAATAATGCAAATGAGTTATTACAATTAAAGACCAAATGACCATATACAGTATGGATATCTAGCCAACCATGCAGGTAGCCTATTCTAGTGAGTTCAAACCTGGGTTGAACTGCCAGCATTTAGTGGTCACAACCTCCCAAGAACTGGTGGGGACTCATATTTAATGTGTATTAACAGTATTTTCCTGTGATGGAAGTGGCTCACAGTAGCCAATTTTTAAAACTGAGGAATGTTGGTAGTTCAACCCAATTTCAAATCCCAGCAAATGGATTGATTGCATGAGAGTTTTTGTGGTTTTTCCCATGTGTAACATGGAAGCGAGGAATTTTTCTTATAAAAAATTTTCCGCAAAGGCATTCCTCCTCTTAGGCAAATAGCTCTTCAGTCCTTTGTTATAATCTAATTAAAGCAGTGTTAATTTAAGTATAATTCTGGTCCAAACATGATTATATTCAATAATTTTTTTTTAAAAATTGTAATTTTAGAAATAATAGTAGCTTGCTTATAGACTGTACCAATCACATTAAATACAGAATAATTTCTTTGAAACACAAGGTATCATATTTCCATCAAGAGTTTATAGTGGAATAGTAAAATTAAATGCAGCAAAAGTTGGATAGCAGTACACAACCAAATCTTTCCAAGTTTACTCTCTGCACTATCAACTGTAGATATTTAGTTGCTAGTTTGCAATACAATGATCTCCATACTTTAGAATTAGTAAAATATGAGTTAGTTATGGAGATTTCTTATGAAATATCAAATAGAAGTATTTACAGACAAGATCATTTATGCATAGTGCAACAAGTTTTGAAGAGCTCGATTGCCTGTGTGATGCAAAATGTTTTGTTACATTATTTTACATAGGCTAGCCAAAACTAGATCACAAAAGGGAATATAATACCTGCTTTGGCATGTAAAAACATTTGAAGAAATTCTTTATTTACCAAAAAGCAAATTTTTGCAGAATTTGTTATAGTTATTTAACTATGAATTTTTGAAACCCTAGCTCTACCTTGGTACCAAATTAGCACCACTGCTGTAGAAGTACATGCCAGCCGTCTCTCAAAGTATATGCCAGCTGCCTCATTGTCATTCTAATTCATGTGTTGCTGTTAGTGATAGTTTATTTGAACTGTTCTTATAAATATTCAACATAACACCCTGTAAATATTCGTGATTAAAATGACATTTTGTTCTCCACATTTTTCACACTTTCTTTGAATATTTTATATTTAAATTCTGAAGCAATCATGGATTTATTTTCTGTTTTGTGGCTTTTTAAAAAAAAAAAAAATTTAAATAAGTAAGAAAAGGAAGAGAAGAAAATGTATTGTTGCTGAAAATTGTCAAATAGCAAATTATAAATTGGTTTATTGATTATGGCTATGTCTATTAAGATATAATTTATGTCCTTTAAAATAATTTTTTCTTGCATGCTTATGTATCTTTGGCAATATATAATTGCAAGCATCTTACTTTCTAATAGTCTTTTTTTAACTAAAGGAAACTGATTCCATATATGCATACCTGAGAATTAAAGTAAGAGATAAATACTAAATCAAGTTCAGTGACAGAAATATGGGTGGTAATAGTAAAGATAATAATATGGGTAATAATAAAGATGATGGCAGAAAACACAGAAAGTAAGTTGAATGATTGATATATTTAAGACACAATAACACGCCGAATAAATACTAATTCAGAAGTCAAACAACAAAAATCAGCATTATATTTACAAAATTTTCACAGTAATTTTCACAGTTTTGTAAATATAACGCTGATTTTTGTTGTTTGACTTCTGATTGATATATGTAGAAAAAACATATTCATAACATTGCCAAATATTATTTCCCAATTTTGCAGAATCTACATTAAATGTTTCTTTCATAAAGATGCATCCTATACAATTGATATTCATTTTTTGTAATATTCAGAGATTCGCTGTTCCATAAAAGTGTAACAGAGGCAGTGTTGCAAAACAAAAGTGTGTTGAGGGCCACATATGAAATCTGATATTTCTTAATTACTACAGTTTCAATCATATTATTAAGATGCATGATAAAAGTACACTATCATTTTAGAAAGATACTTAGAAACAATTAGCATAAAACTTTTAATATGAACACCGTGCTTGATTTTTTTAACACTTTTGAGCATCTTGTTTGACACATGTGACAATGATGCAAATAGTAATTACAAGATATTTGATTGAAATTTTGCTCATTTTAATTCTTAATTGCATCATAGAATGAAATTTTTACTCAAACACACCTAATTTCAGATTCTAATAAAAAATTGCAATTTTTCCTGCAATTTCTAATTTATGTATCTGTTGGATTTGCAAAGTCAGAAAATTGAAACTGTTTACTTTTTGAAACTTTATTGTACTGGCAAAGAACCTAAAGTATATAAAATTAGGTAAAAAGAAGGGAACATATATTTTGCATAAAACTATTGATTTTGAAAGTGATCAAACAAAAATCTCAGTTTGCCTGGAACAAAGAAATTTAGTTTTTGATGGTGTTGATATCATTATAAACAGTTATGAGAGTGAGATATTTTATCCACAAATATCAGTGGTGGCATAACTAGTATCTGTTGTTATGCAAGCATCCATATATCCAATAAAACACACAGATGTTTTAGTAGTAACTATATAAATTTTATTCACAAGTTCATAGATGATGATGAATGATATAATATGGAAAAAAAATACCAAATGTGCTGACTAATATTACTTGGAAAGTATACTTTCAATTCTTAATGAATCTGTTCAACATTTAAAAGTTTGTTATAATCCTATTTGTAAAACTTTTAGGCTGCTTTGTGTAGTCTTTTCTTTAAGTGCACCTCAGAAGTGATAAGTGATATGTTTTAAGTAAGAGGTTAGAGCAAAAGTCGTTCCACAATTAGATGATCAAAATTCAATTTGGGAGCTATAATCTCTAGGTGATTTTTACCATAGTTATTCAATAAACTCCATATCCGTGATGGGTTATAGAGTTTAAACCTTTGAAACTGCTGTTGGAAAATATAATATTGACACTGTTAAATGTATTATTCTTTTAAATTGTGATTTGCTATAAATATGGTTTAAGTTGAAAAATTTTTTCCTTGTTATTGTTTCTAAAATAATATTTGATTTTTCAACTTCACTGGTGTTAAAACTTAATAGTTAAAAGTAACTATAGCCTAACTGTTTTGTATGTCTGTTACATTTATTGACATTTTTTAATGAAATGTTTTCTTTTTTTTTTTCTCAGCAATAGTCTGGTGCCTCATTCATGGACAACTCAGTTATAGCAAAAAGTGGATGGCTTTCACGTCAGAGTGAGTTTCTGTTTTAATTTTAAAAAAGAAAAGACATTACTAGCATTTATTAAATGTAGTACCTGAAAGCAATGGCACTTAACATACACTCTTTTGTAAAAAAAAAATCGAAGCACCAAGAAGGACTCATTTCATGTCAGCGATCATGACAAAATTTGGTATGCAAAAACATCTTTATTGAACATGCAAATGATCAAAGTTTCAAGGCAAATGAACAGGAATTGCAATCATAGCGCAGATTTTTAGTGCACAATTCGCAAAGTATAAAACCAGTAACAGAGCCAGAAAATTTATCTGTATTTGTTGCTGTCATTGTAACTTCATAAAGAAGCAACTAGAGATGCCATTACAAAGATATCGAAGACCTTACAACTAAACGACTTCGAACGTGGTCACATTGTAGGTTTGCATGAAGCTGGGTGGTCATACCGAGCAATAGTCTGCCACCTGCAGCGTACAGACACTGCTGTGCAAAGATATTGGCAGCAATGGTTGCTACAAGGAAATTGCGGACGAAATGAAGGCTCTGGAAGGCCAAGGATCACAAATACGAGGCAAGATAGGATGATTTTTTTGTCAGGCCTGAAACGCCCCATTGGTATCATTGTTGGCTAGTCAACACACTAGAGCCACGTCTATACCTCCTGTGGTACCGTCCACCATCTCACGGCGCTTGTCTGAGGCGGGATTACGCTCACAGAGGCCTTTAAGACATTTGTCTTTGACCCCCAACAACATCGGCGAAGTCGTCTGGAGTGGTGTCAGAGCCGATCATCATGGCTTCCATAAGACTGGCATCGTATACTGTTCAGCAATGAATCCCGCTTCACACTTGAAGCAGATGATCACCGTGTTCGTGTCTGCAGAGGACGGGGCCAGCGGGCCCAATCTGCCTTTGTTTTACAAAGGCATACAGCCATAGCCCCTGGTGTGGGCACTATTTCTTATGACAGCAGGGCATCTTTAGTCATCCTCCGTACATCTTTAACAGCTCAATGATATGTTGATACCATCCTGCGGCCTTACCCTTCATGGCACATCATCCTGGGGCCATTTTCCAACAAGATAATGTCAGGGCACATACCGCTTGCATATTCGCTGGACTGTCTCCATGCGGTTGATACGTTTCCTTGGCCAGCAATGTCACCAGACCTTTCACCAATGGAGAATGTCTGGGACATGGTAGGCTGCAAGATTCGGGCACCACGAAATCTCGCAAATCTGGAGCGACAACTGATGAATGCCTGGCAGGATGTGTTATAGGATGACATTAGGAACCTCAACCACTCCTTCCCTTGATGAATTCAAGCATGCATTGCCGCCAGGGGTGGTTTGACCAACTACTAATTTGAACACTCAATGGGTGATTGTGAGCCGGGAACAGGTACTATGGCCTTGATTTTGTAATTATTTTATTATCTGTGTATGAGCTATACACATATTCAATTTCATCAAAAACAACAACTTCCTTCATGGTGCTTCAATTTTTTTTGCAAAAGAGTGTATTATTGCAACCGCCTTTGAAAAAAGTTGCCAAATTTTCAAAGTCTGCAGCATACTGGCATAACAGTTTTTCAGACAACCATGCTCATAGCATTCAGCATTCTTTATGTCAAGAAACTGTGATATTATTATTAAGAAACTGCAAATATATATATATATTTGTTGTTGTTGTATTCCACGTTCCAATGGTTTTTATAAACAAATCTTTATATTTTTATCTTAAGCTCGATCTTAAAATATGTGCTTGTTGAATTTACAAGCAATGAAAGAAACTGCAATAAAATTTCTGCAGGAATGCAGTATTTTGCTGCAAAACGTCTAAAAGGAACAAGGGCGATAAGCATTTGGTGCACAATGCTGGGGGTTGTGCTCGATGCTGAGTTTGTGAATTTCATTTTTTTTTAAAAGAGAGAAATTGCTGTGTAGATGGGGAGAACAGTGCAGATGTATTTCAAAAGGATTTCACAAACAATTAATTTTATTTGAAAATTTTTATTTAATAATTAAAATTTTTTATTTTAAATGTTTGCCAACTTATGATAAATATTGGTAGTTTAGAAATCATTTTTTAAAAGACATAAAAATTGCTAACTTGCACCCGAAAAGTAAATAAGTAAATGTTACTTTTTGATTTGGAAAAAAAAAAAAAAAAAAAAAATTGCCAAATTGTTCTGAAATGATGTGTTAATATGCAAGTACCAGAATAGTAGTAATTATTTGTTTCTTGCTTACCTTAAAGAAATGAAGACATCCTTCCATCATTGAAATATTTTCATTTGTTTAAATGTGATTTATGTATTTGCTTTTTGTGATTGTAATAACTAAACAGGTACTACAACTAACAATGTTATTTAGAATGTGTTTACTGAGATCAGTGCAGATCCAAGAAATGCGTGGATGAGTGATTTTAAGTTGCAAATTGGCACTAGTTCACCTTGGATTCTCTTCCTAGCTTTGGAATAGGCTGGCTGTGTGTGGCTTTCATGGTTTCTTTGTTTTGTTGTTTGTTGTGTGCAGTATAATTACAGGTTAATTTTCCTTGGAAATACTGTATAAAGTCATCTTTCTCAGTAAGCACAAGTTGTAAAATAGTTGTTAATATGTTTTGCCATAAGCAAATAATCTATGTGATCTGTTGAAAATAATTTTTTGAAAATAACTTCTTTAAAAATATTTTAGGTAACTTTAGATATACAGAAATGCATTTTAGTTTTAAGAACTGAACTGTCGTATCCCTTTTCACAAGATGTCTTAGTATTTTTCCTGGCAGCAAACGGCAACCATGTTTTAATTGCTTTATCATATAGACTTTCTGTTAGTAGTATTTTTCAGATTGAAGGTACTCATTTCGCTAGTTATGCACTGCAGTAGATATGCTACATCATTCACTTTATGTAATGCAGTACAAGTCCAAAATCCGTACAAAGTCCAATCTGCATTAACTGACTCGTCGGGACTTCGGCGATTCCAGATTTGAGATTTTTCCGGATAATAGATCATCAATTTAAAACTGGTAAGACGGCATGCAGAAATTGTGCAATTAAAAATATGAAATTGTAATTTATGAAATAAAGAGCAATTATGATCTAAAGGGCATCAAAATTTACAAAAAAAGCTTAATACTTATTTGTTTGCTTTATTAAACATTTCTTTCAATGTAAGTTGTTTAAGCTGCTTCCATAAAAAAATTCAAAAAGTTCCTTTTTCTTTTTCTTATGTTACATACAGTCGACTTTCTAATGTCATACACCTTGCATAATTTCGAGATGGATATGTTTTTATCCATTTTTTGCAGCAATTCCACTTTTTGTTTAATGGACATCAAAACGTTGTTTTGCTTTGTAGATCCTTAGGCAGCCCCGGAATTGGAAACTCTTTTCGACATAATCGAAAGTTCAAGCTTAATTTTTGTAAAATTGCTGTAAAAGTAACAGTCTGCAAAAAATAATAAGCTGGATCAATTTAGAAGGTTAGGGAGCAGTGCAGTCTGCTGCATTAACTGAAATGCCTTAGAATAAGTAAAGATAATTTTAGCCTAGCTTAAAATAGCATCTGTTATACATTATTGGTTGTTTATCACAAGATTATCGATGAAAGCCAAGTAGTTCTGCTAAATTTTCTCTTGCTCCTATTGTGTACTGAAAAATTAAGCCTGAATTGTATTAGTTATTTACTATACCTACGTTTATTTCTTGTACATGCTTAAAACTAATCTGAGTCCTGAATAAATAAACACCCACATATACTTAAGGCTTTATCTAGGGCCGGTGCTAGATACCACCTGGTGCAGTCTTTAAATTCTGCTACAAAGCGCCTTCCTAAGTTCTAAATTTTCACCGTGCCTATACTTTGGATCCCAGTACTTTGCCCCCTAATTATAAAAAACCTTCTCATCCCTTAATTTTGCCACTCGGTGCTTCCCCAAATTCCAAAAATTGTGTCTTCCCTAAATTCTGCCGCTGCTTCTGGGTTTATGGTAAATAATATATCAGTTATTCTTAATTAAAATAGCACTAAGTGTAATCTCGTAGCGTATGAGTTTCATTAACAAAATCTATTTTTAGCATATGCAAAGAAATTTTTGTTGAATTTTTCCTCATCAATATTTCTTAGAGTATTTAAAAAATCTATAATCATCGCCAAGTGTAATGTTAGTAGAAAAGGTTGCCTAACTCTTGTTATTCAATTACTAATATATAAAAAAAGTTTAGACATCACTGAGTTATTACTGAAGCTGTCTTGTATTGATAAACATGCAGTGTTGAAAGCAAAATATAATAAATAATGACTTGCCAGGTTGGCGTCAGGGATATAAAATAGGTGAATGTTTCGGTTTGTGAAGTAATGCCAAGCAGACATTCAGCTGCGGAGCCAAATTATTAATCTCACAAATTTATGCTTACATGATTGTTTTCAATAGCAATGTATTTTATTTAGTGCCTAAGTGAAATTAAGAATCAGAATTTTTAAGTGAAAATCTCCATATGTTTTATTATGGAAGGAAAAATCAAATGCGCATGCGTAAAGCATACAAAAAAAAAAAAAAAAAAAAAAAAAAAAGGTTTGTGTCTTTGGGGTCTGAATTTTAGATCATTCCGGATAATAGACGTCCAGATTTCAGACTTTGTACCGTATTAGATGAATCTTCAGTAAGGTTTAAATGCTGTATTTGTTCTACAGTGATGATCTTCAGCTTCAGTGTTGTTAAAGAATAATATGAAAGATTTACGTAGCTAGTATCTAAATACGAATTCCACCTCAAAAAATTTGGAAGCCATATGAGAACTGCTGATGTAACTGTAGTATATTTCTGTGATGAAGCTAGCAATGGATTATGAATGAATCTAATGAGTTTTAGGCTCTGATATGCCAATACTTGTTAACCCTTGAATATTTAATGATATCAAGGATTGCTTCTTGACTTGAAATTTCATTCTTAAGTAAACATTAAAATAAATTAAGTAAACATTGAAAATTAAGAAATATTGAAAAAGGAAAGAAAATTTTTACCTAAGTTGTATATTTCAGGTATGCATTTTTTTTCTGTTACAACTTTTTCAATCAAGACTTTTTATAAAAACTGCTTTATATTTTTCGCTTTATGTGTGTAATTTCGATTAGTTCTGAATAACCTAACTCAAATTTTATATTTCTAGCAACTATATTGAAAAAATGGAAGAAGAATTGGGTGGAATTGTATAGAGATGGTCATTTAAAATACTATGAAAATGAATGCAGTCCAAATGCTGAAGATATAATTTTTATGCCAACAGAATGTTTGGCTATAAAAGCAGGATTGCAGGTAATATATTTTTGCCATGAGAATAATTATGTGTGATGGGTTTTAGTTATTATTAATGAGCACTAGTTTGTTGCTATGTTAGAATTATTTAATTGATTATTTTGTACACTCATTGCCATAAAAATTTGCACACCAGGAAAGATTTGTCAGAATATAATAAAATTTTATGTATGTAAGTGCAGTTACTAGGGTGGTAAAGCAACAAGCATCAACATAATATTCATTAATGTGCAGGACTTGTTTTGAAAGTTTAAATATGGAATCTCTTTCTTCAGCTGCAGAAGTGCAATTGACAAAAGAGAAGCGAGCAAGAAGATAAAGTGATAGGAATGAAAGGTAGGAAGGTTAAGCTACTGGCACCATCTATTGATGAAAAATGAAAACAACTATAAAATAATTTCCTTAAAACCTGAGAGTAAAGATGGAGTGGAATTAGGGTCGTTGACCAGAACTGGAAGATTTTTATGAATGTAAAATTACTCTAATTAATATATTTGCCAATGGAAGATGTTTTTTTGAATAATTTTGGTTGTAGAAAAATGGAATATGTGATTTTTGACCAATAGTATTGGGCAACAGAGGATTCATGTGTTTCTTTTTTCCTAACATATGCCTCATATTCTGTAGCATAAAATTTTTAGGCTGTTTTAGTTTGACCAGTGTAAATTAAACAACATTGTTGAGGAATCCTGTATATACCATAGAAGTTTATATTCAGAATGGGGTTCTTAAATATGCAACTGTGAATTTTATTGACGGGAGAGAAAAATGACCCAGAAGTTGAATTTCTGTAAAATACATGCAGTATTGTTATAAGTAATTGATTACTAAATCAAATGGAACATCTATTACCAGAAAAACTACAGATGAATGGAGGCTCTAGTATTCTATTGGGCAACTTCTAGCTTGAGAACATGATGCAATATGGCCAGGCATTGAAGCGTACAGGTTTGGTATGGTATCCTGCAACATATTTCACACTTATAAGCGTACCTCTAATTCAACCAAATTCCTAGGCTGTACAACTTGCCATCCGAAGTGATACCAAACATGTGGGACAAGTGACAGATCTGGGTATCAGGCAGGTTAAAGAAGGGTAGTAATGTGGCTTAGACATTTCTGCAACATACTTGCTGTGTGTGACCAAGTATTGCCATGTTGAAAAATGCATCTTTGGAGCCTTGCAATAAGTGGCAAGGCTTTCAGCAACACATATTGCTGAAAAGTGTGACGAATGTTCCACTGGGTTATCATGGTGCCTTGGATCAATATTAGAGGTTATCAGTTGTCTTATTAAATGGCACTTCATATCAGGATACCAGCTGTGGGAACAGTGTGCCATTGTAAAGGGAAATCAAGATTCAGGCTCTTATTGGGTTGCCTTCATACATGTATTTGGTTCTCATCACTGCCCTGTGTGAATCTCAGTTCTATTCTGAAGATGATCTGGTTCCATTTAATTGCAGTTAATTCCTATTGAGCATAATACCACTCGAAACGGAGGAGACTGCGTCATTGGCAGATTGCATAATAGGCACAGGGGCCTGTATTAAAAGTATCGTCTGTCTTTAGATAGCAGATAATGATGCAGGTGGCATGGTATGTTTATGCTAGGTGATGTCACAATCCTCTAGGCCAGTGGTGCGCAAACTAGGGGTCGCGACCCCTGTGGGGGTCGCCAGAAGTTTTTTGGGGGTCGCCAAATTTTTATGAAGTGCATTATGCCTGCATGCTGCATACATACAGTGTACATATAAAGAGTGAAGTGCCGTCACTCACTGTTTAATTGCAATTTCATGCTGTCCGCTCGTTCTTTGACCATAATGCGTAACGTATGTAAAGTGTGAAGATGCAAGTTTTTCACTCCGGTAGATAGCTCCCTCTTCACGGTAATTCGCCAGTTTTATTGAAAAGTGCCTATTTGACTAGACGTTAACCGCAGGGAAAGGGAATTTCGCTTCCGGGATCAGCCAATCAGATGGCGAGGTACGCGGTGTATCTGATAGTCGTCAGAGTGAAGACGTGGAGTGTTCGCATGAAGTTGTAGCGTGTAGCAGTTGGCCTTAAATTTTTTTAGTTTATTCTCGAGTTTTATCATGTGACGTTGTGTAATTATGATTTTTTATATTTTTATCGGGCTTTGCTACTCTTTGTTATCAGGTATGTACTGACATTAGATAAAATCTCTGTTAATTCTATTGAATTTCTCGAATAAAAAAGATAAAATTTTATATATTATTTGTTTTAGTTTAAATAATTTAACCCCTATCTTCATAATGGATAAATGGGTAACACGTACACCAGGTACATCTTCAGCTAACAAACGAACAAATACTGATGAGGAGTCGCAAAATACTGAACTAAATGCCCGATCTAAAAAAATAAGAAAATACAGTGAGGAATTTATTAAGTATGGTTTTACATTTTGTGTTTGATGATGAAGAACGCCTGATATGTGTCATTTGCAATGAAAAATTAGCAAATGAGAGCCGAAACCAGCTAAATTAAAAAGGCACCTGAAACTAAACATAAAGAACTTCAAAATAAACATGATGATTTTTTTCAAAGACGAGCTGAAAATCTGAAAATTCACATTTAGAGAAAGTTACAATACCTCAGAAAGCATTACAAGCTTCCTTCCTGCAGCAACTAAGATGACATCAATTATGCATGGTGATAAATATGGAAATGAACTAAAAACAATACCATTATCAAGCGATACCGTGTCTCGGCGGATTTCCGAAATGTCACAAAATATTGAGTCAGAAGTCATAAAACGCATACAAAATTCATCTGTATTTGCTTTACAACTGGACGGGACTACCGATATTACTAAAATGTCACAACTAATTATTAGGTTTATTTTTAATGAAGATATAACAGGAACGTTTTTATGTTGCAAAAGTTTGGAAGGAAAAACAACTGGAGAAAAAATATTCGAAGTAATAAATGAATATTTTGAAACAAAGTCCCTTACCTGGGCAAACTGTGTTGCGGTTTGTACTGATGGTGCTGCAGCACATTAACAGGTTCGAATAAAGGGCTCAGAGGCTTAATTCAGAAGGTGGCGCCTCATATGGTATTTAATCACTGTATGATTCATCAGACAAGCTCTTGTTGCAAAAGATATGGATGAAGAGTTGCACAACATATTACAAGATGCGCTTCGTTCAATTAACTACATTAAATGCAACAGCCGCCTCTTTTCAATACTTTGCAATGAGATGGGCTCAACGTACGAGAGATTACTGTTATACACCGAATTCAGATGGCTTTCACGTGAGAAAATACTACGACGGATATTTGATTTGAGAAATGAAGTGTACACGTTTTTTAATCGAAGCGAAACATAGATTGGCAAGTTATTATATGAATGAAGTTTGGCTAGGGAAGCTGAGCTATTTAGTTGATATTTTCGAAAAACTTCACGACTTAAATTTGAGCTTGCAGGGTAAAAATCATATTTTCAGCCAGTAAAATTCAAGCTTTTAAGAATAAGCTTAGTAGTCTCTGGCAAACTGAACTGAATAAAAACAACACCGACGTGTTCCCTTGCTTTAACAATTTTATCAAGGAAAATAATATAGATATATTTACGTTTAAAAACATCATTTCCAATCACATTGAAAAGTTAAAGGAAAATTTTTCGAGAAGATTCGAGGATTTTCCTGAAAACGATCTTGGTTGGATTCGTGATCCATTTTTCTTTGACATATGCAGTGCAACACTTCAAATTAGTGAGAAAGAGCAATTGATAGATCTAATTAGTGATTATACTCTTCGAAATCAATTTTAGACCCAGCCTTGCCAAAAATTTTGGCTATCCGTGGAAAAACAATATCCCGTTTTATGCAAGAATGCCCTCAGAGTGTTAATACAATTTGCCTCAACGTATTTATGTGAAACTGGATTTAGCAAACTAGTTTCAATAAAAACGAAATACCGCTTGCGTTGAAACCTTGAAAATGATATGCGAACTGCAATTAGCAACATACATCCAAACATCGATGAGATAATTAGAAACTTGCAGCCGCATACATCTCATTAAAGGGCAATTTACTGATTTTTGTGTTATACAAAAAGTATTTTCTTAAAATTATAAATAAAATTAATATGAGTCAGATATGATGATGTTTTTATTCGATGAAACAAAAGAAATGCTCAAAATATACGTCGTATTTGTGAACATTTATCTCTAGGGGGTCGCCAAAAATTTTCTCTCTACAAAAGGGGTCGTAGTCAAAAAACGTTTGCGCACCACTGCTCTAGGCTATTGGTCTGCCAATGGCATCCTGAGGCTGGCTACCATTTATGCAACTGATGTCTACTTATCTCAGCATCCTGTCACTGTGAAGTCAGAATTGCCTAGGTCTGGGTTTCTTAAACTTTTTTCAGTCGCAACCGCTTTTTATCACTGATATTTTTTCACAACCCCCAGGACCCATAATATTTACAACAATTTTGTGGGACCCCGCAAGTATTGCGCAAATCTGACACACGCATGAGTGAAACTGTCAATTTTTTCACTTGTACTGTAATAAGCTATTGCATTTTTAGGTCATTAACTTTAATTTCTAATTTTAAGACATAGAACAATGTGAAAATTTTAAATAAGTAACAGACAAAGTGACAGCTTCACGTGCAAAGCAAGGAAAATGAACGTTTATATTATAAAAAGAATGCATCAGTGCTTCGGAACGTTTTCATTTTTTTATTTGTCTGTATTGTCTGTATCTGTTTTCAGATACATTGTGTAAAATTATTTGGTAATTGTAAAATTATTATAAGTTAAAGAAATATGAAAACTACTAAAATTGTTGGCAACCTCCTGCTGCACGTCCCGTGACTTCTTTAGGGGTTGCAATGATCATGAAGCATACAATTTGAATCTGTGCATAAAGTGTTTGGAATGACAAAAATAGCAGTCCCTTTTTGACAAATAAGAGTGATATTTGTATTGTGAAAAATGAGAAATCTAAACCCTGCTTTAATATCCAAAA